CAAAGAGTTTCTATTTGAGACGTTTCGGTTAGCATTGGAAAGTTTACTTCTCGTACAGCAAATATATACTACAATATCAATCATTTGACACGACTTGTGAAGGTAAATTTGCTATATGTCAATGCTGTGCAATACCTTTCTTTTGCGTGTATTTGACGTTGCCTCGTCATCATTGAATTTAACAAATTATCATTCTCTTTTTGTGAACTTACGTTCTGATTGGTCGATTTGTACCACGTGAGAGGATTTTATATAGGAACAAAGCCACGGCAGTGCCGTTATAAAATTTATTACATGTTTGCATAACACTCTAACTCATCGTTAATATGACTGTTGTCAAAGTGGGTATTAGAAAAATAATTGTGAAAGTGTATCGACGATGATCATTTCCTTCCAGGCTTATAATTTAGCGTGAAGTCCTACCGTTGTGAACTCAATAGCATTCTCTGCAGACGCTGACGTTAACGACTTCTTTACAACGGAGACTAACAACGGCTTATCATCAGTTTCAACCTCGACAGGTTTGGTGTACGTATACTCGTTATACTCCTCGAATGCAAAAAAACCTGCCAGCAGCTCCCTTTCGATTTGAGTTTCCCCATCTGTAAGAGCTCTCGACGCAAACGCGACTGGTTTATCATCCTTTGGCCAGTTGTATATAAGACTAGTTAACTTTTAACTGTAGTTAAGGACAGAATTAGCAAAGCAGAGTTGTGTATTTCTGAGTAAACTAGGATTTAAATATGCAAAGCGTAGTTAAAGAGTTTTCTACAACCATCCACAGAATTAACGCAGCTCCCAAACCACATTTTGACACATCACATTGACAACGTGGATGTCACAGACGTCTCCACGTCGTAGTATGCAAGAACTGGCTCATCGTTAGAATATCTATTATTTTTTTTATTTATCAGTTCTATTATTAACTTTTTGCCCGGCTGGTTCCATTCTATCTTCAGTTAACTTGTGATCATTATTGGTAGCTTCTGGCACGCGAAGTTCGTATTTCTCTTTGTTGAGTGTGAGATTTTATTCCTTGCAAACAATACAATACAAACAATTTATTTAGACACGGAGGAATATTCAGCTAAAAAATACAACTGGTTTACAAAATTGCCGTGAGAGAGTCGTTATATAAATTAGTAAAATAATCTTTTGTAGCTTTCTTAAATTGAGGAAAGAGGGTTGAATTACGCATTTCTTCAGGAAAGCTATTCCATAGCAAAGCCCCGTCATAGCATAAGCTACGTTTTAGATTCTAGCTACGGTTCGTTCGTGGTTTGGGTAAGTTTAATTTAAATTGATTATTTCTAAAGTCATACTCAGAATTTCGAATAGAAAACAAGGTTTGTAAATATGGAGGCATATTTCCTTTTAGTATTTTAAACATCAACTGAGACTTCAATTTTTTACGTCGTATATAGAGATTATCTAATTGCAAGCGATTTAAGAGAGCACAAGCGTTGGCATCATAACTTGACCTCGTTATGACTCGAACTGCTCGGTTTTGTAGTTTTGGTAATTTTTTTGCAAGTGTGTCCCCTAATTCATCCCAAACCGAGCAGCAGTAGTCAAAATGAGGTTGTATTAAAGCGAAATAAAGCTGAACTGCCGCTTTGCGCGATATAAAGGGTCTTACGCGCTTTGACGCTCCAATAGCCGAAGAAACCTTTTTGGATATTTTGTCAATATGCTCTGACCACGAGAGGTGACTATCAATATACATACCTAAAGATTTGGAAACATTGACCCTGTTTATTTCACGATTGTTAATGGAAATAGATATATCGTTATCGGTAGTATTAATTCTTTGCCGCGATCCTATTATCATGCATGAATTCCGTTTTACCAATATTCAAACTAAGCTTATTAGCTGTAAGCCAGTTATTCAGATTTTCTAACTCACGGTTAATAACAAATTGCATTTTGTCCAATGAATCAGCGGAATAACTTATACTCGTATCGTCCGCAAACATTCTTGGCTTAGATACATTCAAGCAATTTGGTAGGTCGTTAATATAGATAAGGAATAGCAATGGACCCAAACTACTACCCTGAGGAACTCCACAGGTTAACGAGGTAGAGCTTGAGAGCTGACCATTTACTTTGCACTTTTGTTTTCTATTCGTTAGATATGTCCTAAACCAATTTAGACTACCTGGATCAACTCCATAATTTGTTAGCTTTAGCAGAAGAATTTCATGGTCAATGGTGTCAAAAGCTTTTTTTAGGTCGATAAAGACTACCGCATTTAACAAGCCGTTATCTATATTAACCGACCAATCATTTGTTGCCTCTAGTAGTGCTGTTAGTGTACTGTGAAATGATCTAAACCCAGATTGACAAGAGGTCAGCAAGTTGTTCTCATTAAGATAATCATAAAGTTGGTCGTAAATGAGGTCTGGATCAGTTTTAGCGCCACTTTTGTATAGCAGTGACACTCTAGCTTCCTTCACACTGTTGTAGGGTAATCATCGAACGCTCATCCTGTGTTTATCATCATTCATCACTTTGGGTATCCCCAAAGGACTGGCACATTCGCTTCTTAAAAAGTAGGGTTATCGTATGGTCAACTTCAATGTGATAGGGCTTCTTTAAGCATGCCCTTACGAAAAAAACACATGCAAACATGTGGATACATGCGATCACATGTGGTTTACATGTGATCATATGTGATTCACATGTGAATATACGCGGTTATTTTGAGTCTACATGTGAACCACATGTGATGCGCATGTGGTTACATGGGATGCACATGTGAACCACATGTGATGCGCATGTGGTTACATGGGGAATATCTGTCAACACATATGGTTCATATGTGATCAAAAGTGCTTCACATGTGAAAATATACTAACATATATAAGCGGCTCACATGTAAATAATATCATGGATAGTTAAAAGACTTTAATTATAGTGATTTTATTAACCAATAATATTGATTTTATTATCCATGGTAATATGTATGTATAACGTATTTGTTAATCGACATCATAGACAATCCAGAAGATGTCTTGTGGATTCATTGGATTGTCTACAGATGCCGACATATAAGGTTATTTACAGTTATATCAAGATTCTGCTGCTTATTATACTTCTCATACTTACATATAATCGGCTGCGTTATCTTGGACATGTTAGGTATAAAACTTTGGTAGATTGTGCCATTTCTTCCATGTTGTCCAAGGACAATTTCAACTTTGCTCTGAGCGCAACTGGTGTGCTACATAAGGGACTGACAACTAGGGTAATCATGGGGTCAGCATCGATGTCATAGGGCTTCTTTAAGCATCCCGCCTCGAAATCACTTTAGTAAATTTCTCTGGAAAAGTTTCTGCTGATTGACGTTAATGACGATCAAAATTAACTTCAGAGAATCTTTCAACCCAATGATAGGCACTTGTTGGGTTTTGACAACGAAAAAATTCAATGTCATTGCCACACTTCATATTGCATTCTCTCACCACCGACGGATAATCACCAGTCCGAGTGTATGGCCTAGGTTAAACGTCGCATTTTAATCGCGTCGAATGCAATTCAAACAATAGATAAAGAGATGATAATGAAGCTTAATGAGGCGTAACATCTCATTATCTATTGTGTGAATTGCATTGTAACGAACAAATGTAACGGTATTATATTGACTTGCGCTCCTGTATCAATCTGGAGCTTTATCTCCCTTTCTTCCACCAATAGGATTTTGAACGCATTGTCTTCGTTTGGCATTGAACAACATCTGCCAACATCTTCGTTTGGCATTGTTACAATATCTACCTTCTTAGCACAAGACATCTCATTAAAATGCATGTAGAAATAGCGAATATATTACAGGATCACGATATTCTTGCTCATTTTTATCGTTCTATTTCAGTAACTCTTTAAAATATTTCGACCAATGATAATTAATATTCACTGTTTCAAAGAAAAAATAAAACAAGCTACCGAGTTTATATCCGTGATATTTCGGTTATCATTAGAAAGTTTATCAATTAACTCTCATGACTTGTGAAAATCAAGCACAGGTAGTGGCGTGCTCTGTAATTCAATTTTTAGTCCTTGGTCAATCGGTCCATAGACAATCCAGAAAACATTGTCTTCTGGATTGTCTATGATGATCGGTCGCAACATTTCGTCGCAACGTTATACAATATGGTTGGCATATGTTGCAAGATGTTATATAATCATATTTGACCAGACTGCATGGTCAAACTATACCATCTTTGCCATCTTTAACATGTTGCCAACCTAATCACACAAAAACTTTGCGATCTCGTATATGTTTCGCATTTGCAAATTTGTTAAAGCAATTGCATATTTTCTTTATTGCGCAATTGGATAATTGCTTAGTTTTTCTGAAAACTGCCTGTGTTCTCGTGCAGAAAGTTCCGGAAGGTGAAAATTACGTACACACTAAACTTCCTAATGTTATGTTTGGACGACCATGTTGATCAATATAATTACCAGTGTTTTGACATTAAATTCAATAATCAACTCATCATAAGAATAAAAAGCGGATGTTTGGAAGCAATTTTGTTCCTAGAAAGTATACTACAAGGCATAATGGCTTCGATTTGCATCAAAACCCCAACGTGTTTAGACAAACTCGGCGGTCATACACCCATAATCCTAAACATTTAACCATACACCCATCATGCCATCAATCTACCCAACCACCCACCCTTCCACCATCCATCCATACCACCACCCATCCATCCAGAAATCCATCCTAAGCATTATATCTATATTTTATTTAGACTGAGGAAGGAAACTTAAAGACGGAAAAGGTAGAGTGTACAGAAAACAAATCCGAGCAACAAGGTATGTTATAACATTGAAGGCTTTTAGAAACAGCCACCACCAGGAGTTGTAATCAAGTAAGCATTGCTATTGATAATCACGAATAAAAATATATGGTCCTTAATTAATTAAGGGACCATGAAAACACGATTAACCATCTGAAAAGCTTAGCTATTGACATTGCTTCCGGTGCTCGCTTAATAATGGCAGATCGCGCTTCAGAGGTGCAATACAGTATCGATGTGGGCTATGCTCACGTGAATTTAGGTCATTATGACCAGGCTATTGACTGTTTCAAAAAATCGTTACAGATAGCAACGGCAATCGGCAACCAGAAAGGTATAGCTCATGCAAATATGTTTTTAGGAGTTGTTTACAAAAGATTGAAGGACTATGAAAAAGCTTTTAGCTGTTTGAAAGAATGCTTAGAAATTAGCACGACCATTGGTGATACGCATTTATTGGCAGAAAGCAATCACCAGTTAGCTAATACTTATTATTCTTTAGGAAAGTGGGAAATCGCAATTAGCCATTGCAAAAAAACAATAGAATTAGGAACAGCCATTGGCAATCAAGGAATAATAGCAAAGATCAATCACAGTTTAAGCTACTCTTACGTTCAGCTAGGAAGAAACGACGAGGCACTTTTATGTCTCGAAGAAGCGTTAAGACTTATGACCGCTACTGACGACAAGAAAGGGATAGCTGATACTAATATGAGTTTGGGCAGATTTTACCAAAGAACGAAAGATTATGAAAAGGCAATTAGCTTTTTGAAAGTCAGCTTAGAAATTAGCACCGCCATTAGTGATCAGTCATCAATGGCAGAACAGAATAGAAATCTAGGTGATCTTCATCGTTGTATAGAAAAGTGGGAAAGCGCAATTGACTATTATAAGAAAACATTAGAATTGGGAAAAGCAAGGGACGATCAAGAAAAATTAGCAGGTGTCAATTGTAACTTAGGCATTTGTTACAGTAAACTAGAAAGAAATGAAGAGGCAGTACGTTTTGTTAAGACTTATGACCGCTATTGGCGACCAGAAAGGTATAGCTCGTGCTAATATGTATTTAGGAGATGTTTACAAAAGATTAAAAGACCATGAAAAAGCTATTAGCTGTTTGAAAGAAAGCTTAGAAATTAGCACGACCATTGGCGATACGTATTTAATGGCAGAAAGCAATCGCAAGTTAGGTAATATTTATTATTCTTTAGGAAAGTGGGAAATCGCAATTAGCCATTGGAAAAAAACATTAGAATTAGGAACAGCCATTGGCAATCAAGGAATAATAGCAAAGATCAATCAGAGTTTAGGCTGCTCTTACGTTCAGCTAGGAAGAAACGACGAGGCACTTTTATGTCTCGAAGAAGCGTTAAGACTTATGACCGCTAGTGACGACAAGAAAGGGATAGCTGATGTTAATATGAGTTTGGGCAGATTTTATGAAAGAACGAAAGATTATGAAAAGGCAATTAGCTTTTTGAAAGTCAGCTTAGAAATTAGCACCGCCATTAGTGATCAGTCATCAATGGCAAAACAGAATAGAAATCTGGGTGATCTTTATCGTTGTATAGAAAAGTGGGAAAGCGCAATTGACTATTATAAGAAAACATTAGAATTGGGAAAAGCAATGGACGATCAATGGGAAACAACAATTGTTAAACGTAATTTAGGCAATTGTTACATTAAACTTAAAAGAAATAAAGAGGCCGCTCAATGTTTTGAAGAAATGTTAAGACTTATTACCGTTACTGGGGACCAAAAAGGTATAGCTCTTGCTAATATGTATTTAGGAGTTGTTTACGAAGAATTAAAAGACCACGAAAAAGCTATTAGCTGTTTCAAAGAAAGCTTAGAAATTACCACGACCATTGGCGAAACGAATTTAATGGCAGAAAGCCATGGCCAGTTAGCTAAAATTTATCATTCTTTAGGAAAGTGGGAAATCGCAATTAACCATTGCAAAAAAACATTAGATTTAGGAAAAGCAATTGACGATCAAAAAAGAATAGCAAACACCAATATTTGTTTAAGCTACTCTTACGGTCAGCTAGGAAGAGACGACGAGGCACTTTTATGTCTCGAAGAAGCGTTAAGACTTATGACCGCTATTGACGACCAGAAAGGGATAGCTGATGTTAATATGAGTTTTGGCAGATTTTATCAAAGAACGAAAGACTATGAAAAGGCAATTAGCTTTTTGAAAGTCAGCTTAGAAATTAGCACGGCCATTAGTGATCAGTCATCAATGGCAGAACAGAACAGAAATCTAGGTGATCTTTATCTTTGTATAGAAAAGTGGGAAAGCGCAATTGACTATTATAAGAAAACATTAGAAATGGGAAAAGCAATGGGCGATCAAGAGGAAACAGCAAATGTCAAATGTAATTTAGGTATTTGTTACATTGATCTAAAAAGAAATGAAGATGCACTTCCATGTTTGGAAGAGGCGTTAAGAATTTTCACCGCCATTGGCCACCAGAAAGGAATGGCTGACAGTAATAGCCTTTTAGGTCACGTCTATTTATTTTTCGGTGAATATGAAAAGGCATTCGCTCACTTAAAACACGCTTTAAACATATATAAGGCTATTGATGACAAAAATAGAATTAAATATGTCAATAACGAATTGGGCCGTGTTCACCAGCATAAAAGTGAATACAGCAAAGCCATCGACTGTCACAGAAAATCTTTAGAGATAGCAAAGACGGTCTGTGACCAAGCAGGTATAGTAGAAGCCAATTGTTATTTGTTTTTGATTTATCAAAGAATGGGAGAGCGTGAAAAGGCCATTAGCTATTTAGAAGAAAGCTTTCAAATCGGCAAGGCTATTGGTGATAAGTCATTAATGGCAAAAATCCAAGCCAATTTAGCTGATATATTTTTTTCCTACGAAAAGTGGGAAAATGCAATTGAATATTTCGAAAAAGCATTTGAAATTTTCAAAGCAGAGGGCAATGAAACGGCCAAAAGCGCGATCATTGGCAACTTGGGAACTTGTTACCGTAAACTTGGAATGTATGATAAGGCTTTGAATTATCACGAAGAGAGTTTAGAATTAGCCAAAACGACTAGAATGCCATCAGGGATAGCAGACGCCAACAGACAAATCGGTATTACATATAAACTGTTGGGTGATCATAAAAAAGCCATCGAACATTGTACAAAAAGTTTAGAAATAGGCACTGATATTGGCGAGCCGTTAATGGTGATAGGTAGTTATGAAGAACTCGCAGATGTTTACAAGAGTTTAGGAGAATACAAAGTTGCATCATCATATTTACTAAAGCTTATTAAAGTTCTTGAAGAGCAGTTCCAAAATACGGTTCCAGATGAAAACAAACTTTCCTTCACATGTTTTTTCTGTAGAGTCCATGGAGAGTTAATGAGTTGTTTTGTTTCTCTGGGGCGCATAGAATCAGGATTATTAGTGACTGATCTGGGAAGAGCTAAAGAGCTCCATTTTTCTATTGAAAGAAAAAAAAATTATTTCGATGCAGAATCGTTTCACTACGCAAAATCTATATGGGACAAAATTGAGAAAGGGGAGGAAAATCGAGAAATAGAGCGAATACAGAACATCCTTCAGGTAGAAAATGACGATACTTCAATAGTGTTATTTGCGTTTGATTACAATGAAGGGTCTCTGAAGGTTTGGGTTTTGAATAGTGATGTCACCTTTAAGAGTTTACATGATGCATTGAATATTGCGTTGTTTGTGTTGAATTTTTCCACAAGGAGAGGTCTCAACGTTAATCGAGATTCTTCATTTTTTAAACCTAATTCACTTGCGAATAAACATAGTTTTGAAAGTCGCATGATCTCACCGCCAACCCGGAAGCCGTCTAAAAACGAAAAGGTTGAAGGCTTGCACGAAAAACTTTCGAGCGTCGATAATTGCAGCGATGAAAATAGTATAAAAAAACTGTTCGATTTTCTCATTCAACCGATAAGAGATGCCGTCAAAGGAAATAAGCTCATTGTTGTTCCTGACGGGCCACTGTTTTTTGTACCATTTTCGTGCCTGATTGATGAAAATGGGAGGTATTTATCTCAGAGTTACAGCATTCAAGTAACGCCCTCACTACACACTCTGACGTTTACCAAAGAACAACCCGATGACTCTGACCTCGGTTTTGCGTTGTTTGTTGGTAATCCAAAAGTTGGGAAGGTTTCTTTGCATGGCACAGATTTCATAGCTGATGACCTACCCAAAGCAGCTGAGGAAGTTGCAAGTCTTTCGAAGCTCTTCACAGCAAGGCCTCTCGTAAAAGCTGAAGCAAAAAAACAGGTTGTCCTCGGACTTCTTAGCGGTGCTACTATAATTCATATTGCTGCTCATGGTGAGCGAAAGAATGGCGAAATAATGCTTGCTCCTGACCTGTCTCCTAAATAAACCATCTTTTTCTCTTCCTAATCAGATTCCTATCTCCTCACACAAAGGATATTACAAGTATTTCATTGCCAGCTCGCTTGGTCGTCCTATGCTGTTGTTACACTGGCAAAGGTGAGCTTTTTCCAGAAGGTGTCATAGGTATAGCTCGGTCTTTTCTTGCCGCTGGAGCTCGCTCTGTTCTCGCTACACTCTGGCCCATTAGTGATGATGCAACAAAAGAGTTTATGGAAGCATTCTACGGCGAACTGCTTCAGGAAACACCAGTTTGTGAAGCTTTAAGAAGGGTAATGAACCTCTTTCAGCAACACGAAAGAGAAGACTACCGCTCGTTTTTAATTTGGGCTCCATTTACTATCTTTGGACATGATGTGATGTTTACAAAAGGCGACATTAAAGCAATCAGAGAAAAATCCAGTGAAACTCTACCCGAGGGTGGTTTTGCGTTGTTTGTTGGTAATCCAACGTCAGACTTGACTAAAGCCACTGAGGAGGTAAATTCTCTTTCAAAGCTTTTCAAAGCCAAGGCCTTCGTGGAGGGCGAAGCCAGGAAACAAATTTTGCTGGAGCTTTTCAGCGGGGCAAGTATTATCCATATTTCTGCACATATTCAAGCTAAGCAATGTGCAATAACGCTTTCTCCATATTTCTCCTCGAATCAAGGTTCTTTGACTCTTGCTGAGCAAAATGACATTTTGACGCATCAGGATGTTCAGGGCTTTTCTCTGAAAGGTGGCTTGGTTGTTTTATGCCTGTGTCATTCTGAGCAAGACGAAATCTCTCCAGAAGGTGTTGAAGTTTTAGCTCTGTCTTTTCTTGCAGCCGGAGCTCGCTCTGTTCTTACCACACTAACGCACAGTGACGATGATGCAACAACGGAGTTTATAAAAGGATTTTATAATCACTTACTGCATGAATCATCAGTCAGGGAGGCGCTAGAGAAGACAAAGGAGCTCCTAGAAAAGCATGAAAAAGAGTCGCATCGATCCTATGTAGGTAGAGCTCCGTTTACAATCTACGGAGAAGATATGATGTTCCAAAAACACGACATCGAAACGATAAGAGAGAAATCTGACAAAATGTTTTCTAGTTTTGTTGTATTACGACCTGCTGAGCTTACTGGTTCGTTTGAAAATCTTAACCAGCAAGATGAACCATAGTATAGGTAATCGTTGTCTACTTTGTCGTTCAAGTTTAGGAAGGTTATATTAATCTCACAGGTTCTGCTCAATATAATTATTTGTAAGTTTTTTATTCTTTAATCCTCGCTAATACAGAATGGGAGAGCAGACTGGCTGTAAAATTTTTAATTACATATTATTTTACTCAATCATGTAATCGTGCACTTAGGTTTGTGTGAAATTCAAGATGTGCATTGTTAACGTATCCAAATAGTTCACAATCATATTTAATATCTCAACCGGAGAATATATAAACATCTGGGTTTTATGTTGGTGTATGTGTGTATTAAATGTAAATAAATAAATACTAAGTGTATTCATACCAAATTTTGTGAGCGAATTTCATATCGGCCATTAAAGACTTGATTAAAATTTCGTTGAATTTGGTTATAAATTAAAGCGAATTAAATTTCGAAGATTATGTAAAAAAAGTAACTTTCTACGGCTCTCCAAATGCCCCAAAACTTCTTCTCACCACAATTAACAGCTGGTGTGTGTTAAAGAACAAGCGATTAATTCTATGGCATGGGGATCACCACGCAAATATCTTTCTGGTTTCTGATGTAAGTATATACTTCAAGCATCAACTTAGATTTAGTTTAGTAAACCTGCCTGAATTCAGGTGCATAAGCACCGCGCCCGCGAAGCACAACTCTTGCCAGGGGTGGATCCAGCACTAGTGCACTAATTTGCATGACACAAGAAAACTGCTCAAAATAGCGATTTTGTATTGTAATGCAAATTAGTGCACTAGTGCTGGATCCACCCCTGACTCTTGCGGTAAAGAGGAGAGGTTTTCTTGTTGCATCATTACATAGCTGATAAACCAATTCATCAATTGGAAATTCGAAGAGGCTTCCAATCTTCATGCTACTCCATGTGGATCGTGTATAACTACAATTCAATGCATTTTTCAAAAATGCCTTTTTCAACATTCAAAGATAGACGTATTTGTTTCGTTCGTAAAATTTTTCCCTCAGTTTCTGCTCAATACCATACGATGGTATAACTAATAATGAATGTTTACGAGGGCAATGGTAAAGAATACTTTTACGAGGTGAAAGATGGATTATTCCATTCATCGAGGAAAATTATTTGTTTTATACAACACTAAAAAAAACACGAAAAAGATTTAATGTTATTGAATAAACAGTTTGTGTTTATGAATAATTCCATGTTCGGATTCGTGATCAAATGTGTGCAAGTACGATACGATAATTGCTGTGAATGATTAAATTTTGTGAAAAAGCAACTGTGCATTGACAAAAACTTGCACGCCTTGACGGTGCAATGGAAACATTAATTGCACTGTCAGTAAAATGGAAAATTTTTATTAGTTATTATTATTATTAATTTTTAACCACAAAGACAGAACCAATTGAAAGACATAAAAAATGAGGTTTTATTACATAACTTTCAATGGAGGATAATGAAAAATGCTTGTGAACAACGCCAGCTCTTCGCAGCTTCATATTAAGAAGGATTTGATTACTCGTTTTAAAATCCCAAAAGTTAATATTCCTCTCGAGTAAACAAATTTTTCGTTGTTCTCAGGAGTGTCGATTACTCAATTTCTGCATACCTCGGGAAAGTCCTGGGGTGTAATTCTAAACATGGATCTAATACGAGTAAAAGTAGCTATTACTCGCTATAAATTGCGACAAAGCACAGTGCTTAGTTATCTAAGTGAAAAAACATTGACCTTTAACCAACATTCTATAACCTAGTGGAAAAACAATATCCTGATTCATTGGCATATCATAAGAATAAGAAGGAACAAGTATGATTCAAGTCTTCGTGCCTTGTACAGAATACCACATCCCAAATTAGCAGGCAGTCATGGTCTAAATATATATAGTTGCGCGAGAACATCCCGTAAGCTTTAGGAAAATTAGTCAAGAGAACTTTGTAAGAAAGTCATGAGTTGAAAAGGAATGGAAAGTTTCAAAGTTTTTGTGGAAAACTTTGCGAATTTGCCCGTTTCAGCGGAATACAAAGTACTGGGGGCACGGAAACACGTGAACTAAAAACGACCAAACCACATGAGTTAAAAAATGAAGTGGACGAACGTAAAAAAGAAGAGAGACGCGTTATTACGTAAAATGCAGAAAGATAAGGTGAAAGATGAAAGCCAAACAGTATAATTATCATTATTATATACACAAGCGCCAGATATGAGGTATGCTGCAATCTTATTGGTTGGCTACTAGACAGATATATTAGCTCATATCTGTCTAGTAGAGAAAGTAAACAAAATGGCCGAAAGATTTGGGGAGTTGAGTAAATAGAAATCCAAGCTTTGGTTGATAATAGCGCACCAAAATGCACCGAAAGGGCGACAAAGTTTCGGTGTATATAATAAATCTATCAGTTCATATAGCCTACGACTCGAGTTCGCAGAATAACTGTTAAATATCTACCACGTGGTTTACAGTGACGGCAGTAAAAGTGACTCTTTCACCTACGATTATAACAGATCCCCTTCAAGGGATTAAAAATGGCTTTTTATGGTAAAGAAATGGCAGTGCTATAAGTGGATTAAAAGGATACGAGTATATTTACAACTCGATTATCGTGATTATATATTCGAACCGTATTTCTCGTGGAAAAGGTTGCCATAAAAATTATTGTCTCATGAACTTCACACCCTGGATCGATGGAAACTAAAAAAACGGATGTGGACAGTCCACAAGATGGTTATAAGGAATGTTGGTCATAATCTAAGTAGAAAAGTTAAATTATTTAAGTAGACATATAGAGTTAAGCTTAGCCTTATTAAATGATACGCAAGTGGTTGAAATAGAAGTGTTCCTAATAAATCTATTATAGTTTATTTGCTTTATTAGGTTAGGATTTTGACACCTCACCGAACATTTGATAATTTTTGATAAACCTCTTAATCATGCTCAAATTACGTATGATTTTGGTCTAAATTGAGATCCCATAAAGTTATTCGTAGTGAGAAGTTGATGGATTAAACAAAAAGTAAAACATTGCGATACAACCAAGAAACAACACCAATATATCAGGAACACTTTTATTACCACAGCTGGAGCAATAATCCACGATCTTTAGCTTCTTAACACTACTGCTGAGCTCTACATTATCCTCCATTTGTTTCACATACGGAATTTTCCTTTTTTTACTCTTATAACGTCATTACATTTATTGATAACACAAAA